ATTTACCTCACAGAGTACTTTCTAAGAAGAAGTTCCAGTTCTGAACCAGGATGTGCAAACAAAAAAACTTACTGGAACAGGAGCTTTTAGGCATGTGAGATTTCAACAGTTGGTTGTTTTCCTCAAAGAGCTTGCTCAACATGTTAAATAGAATCACAGACTGGTTTGGGTCAGAAGGGACTTTAAAGCCCATCCAGTCCCACCTCCTGCCCCAGGCAGGGCCACCTTCCACCAGCCCAGATTGCCCAAAGCCCCGTCCAACCTGGCCTTGAACCCCTCCAGGGAGAGGGCATCCACAGCTTCTCTGGGCAGCCTGTGCCAGGGCATCACCCCCCTCACAGGGGAGAATTTCTGCCTCAGATCTCATCTAAATCTCCCCTCTCTCAGTTTAAGCCAGTTATCCCTTGTCCTATCCATCCCTCCCCCCTTTCCTGCAGCCCCTTTCAGCCCTGGGGGTCCGCTCTAAGGTCTCCCCAGAGCCTTCTCTTCTCCAGCTGAACTCCCCAACTCTCTCAGCCTGTCCTCACAGGGGGTGCTCCAGCCCCCCAGCATCTCCGTGGCTTCCTCTGGCCCAGCTCGAGTGGGTCTGCGTCCTTCTGCTGTTGGTGCCCCAGAGCTGGACCCAGCCCTGCAGGGGGGTCTCCCAGAGCGGAGCAGAGGGGAGAATCCCCCCCTCGCCCTGTGCCCACCCTGCTCTGGGTGCAGCTCCGCACACGGGGCCTTTCTGGGCTGCAAGCGCACGTTGCTGCCTCACAGGCAGTTTTCTACCCCCAGGACCCCCAAGTGCTTCTCCTCGGGGCTGCTCTCCAGCCCCTCCTCGCCCAGCCTGGATTTGTGCTGGGGACCAAGCACCAGGGATGGCAGCAGCTAGACCTCTGAAAGGGAAAGGAAACCCCTGCAGTGAAGTAGTGTCAAGGACAGAGAATGGTGTGGGAAGGGGATGGGCTCAGCATTAAGCAAACTGTTTGGAAACAGAAGGCGGAACAACAAAGCAAAGCCCCAGAGTAAGACACTGAGCAACCACAACCTCCATTTGACCTCTGGGATTCCTTCACGTACCAGCTTACCGGGGCATCCACCAAACAGATCCCCTGACCTGAGCCTGTTCCCTCGCCAGCTGATCCCGTGCTGCTTGATTCCCAGGTGGAGTTTCTCAGGGACTGGCACATGACATAAATCCTCCCAAGGACATAAAGATCTGTTTACATGACCAGCATTTGCAAAGCTTTCCCGTAATGTTTCATTTTCACAGCACTACTAGCACAGGGCTGATGGGAAGCAAGCTTTTCCATTTACTGGGGTGTGGATGTCTTGTCTTCTTTTAAATTCCCATGAGTGGTGGGCTCCAGTCTCTGAATGTGCAAGAGAAATTTGGTTCTCAGTCTTACAGAACAAATCAAATCAAGAGATCTTTATCTTAAAATACTGGAATGTTCTTGTAAACAGGTAGCCTTTCCCTTTATAATCAGTGTTCTGTGACAGTGGGAGGGAGAGACTTTCAGATGAGAGTGGGGATTAGCAGGCTCAGTGACTCTGCACTGAGACCTCTGATGTTTAATAAGCATGTCAGTTTTCTGGAAAAAGTAGTAAACTGGCAAAAAATTGCAACTGCTACAAAATTACATAGATTAATCAATTTCTGGTCTTGCAGGAGACCGGATAATTCTTGAGTTTCAGAGGACTCTAACAAAATTAATCAAATAGGAATTGTAATGCAAGTGAAATTTAGGAAAAATAAGATAATATGTAGATGCAAGGAACATTGAGCTCATTACCTAGGTTGCTTGATCTTAAATTTGCTGTTACTACTCCAAAAAGAGACGATATATCCTTAGACCTTAAGGAAAATCTACCATCTTGTATTCTGCAACATTAAAAAAAGGAACTACACACAGAAAATGTTAGACTCATTGGAAAATGTTGGACTCACTGGATCTCTTCCACACTTTTCTGGTGGTACACTGAAAACAATCATAGAGACCAGTGAGGCAGAGTCTCAATAAGTATTAATGGAGAAGGGATGATAGCTGAGTAAAAAAATCACCTTGCTGCAAGGCGTGCTTGTGGCACTGTTAAGGGAAGGGAAGGGAAAGCCGACGTCACTTCCTACAGCTTGCGGAGAGGGGAGCAGCTCCATGCAGTAGGCAAAGGATACAAATTCTGCATAATTCCTCATACTACAGGAAGATCACCTTTTTGCTGAAGAAATGGTATGTTACTGTTCCTAGTAGCCTTGCCAGACTGCTGAGACGTATGATATCCTTCACTGTCACCTTGCCTGTAAACTGTCCCCACCCACCACAATTGAGAGCAACCCTTCCCCTCAGAGCAAGAGGAGCAGCATGAACCCCATGTATGTTTCTAGAAATCCTGAACCATTAAGACTAGAAGGAAGTGTTGCCACTGCCCCAGACAACTAAATAACGCAGCTGAAGTGACACTCTTCCCCTGCTCCAGCTGACAATGCACTCAGCAACTAGGTTAGTGGTCTCTTACAGAAAGGTGATGGTTACTTTCCACCTTAAGACTGAGCGCACTAGAATCTTGAGAGGTGCACTCTTGAATCCCAGCATGTAATGATGAAATTTAAGAATAAGTAAAATGAATACAAAGTTCATTACAAATATTACAGGTTTGGAAATAACCTCATTTTAGGCAGCAGAACAGCGCCCTTTCTCATTTAATCAGCTATTGATGCAGATCTGGGAATACTCCAGCTGTTGACACGAGCTCAGGGCCCTGGGCCACTTTCCAAGTGTTTTCAAACACACATTGGGCAAACAAGCTCTTTCTCATACTACGATCATTAGTTAAACTAGCTTTTCTCTATACCCTCTTTTATTTTCTTTCCCTCCTCTATTCCCCCTTTTTTCATACGGAGATAACATTCAACTTGTGTTTCTTTCTCTGTATCCGATATTATACAAGGGCAAAGCTTCTCCACCTTTGTTAAACAAAACTATTTCCTTTGGTGGGTTGGTCACCTGGAACATACAAAGTAAAGCTGTTAGCAGGAACTAATGTTGTTTCTGGCAGGACAATCAACAGCATCCGCATTGGCACATCCTTTAGATGGATGGTGGTGCTCAACTAAAAGGCAGGGTGAGAAGCATTCTTGAGTAACAAGAGCACTGTCATGTGGATCACAGGCTTGGATCCAGAGTACAGAAACTGGAATGTGTAAACAGTGAGTCTGGGGAAAAAAAAAAAAAAAAGGTGGAAATCAAAATTAAACTTTAAGTCTTTTAAATAAAGCTTTCTGAAAGGGTGTCTCAGTGCAAGACTGGCTTTACTGAACCTTTCTTTGCCACTCTTTTACCCAGTGACTTAACCATATATTTAATAAAAGACTTTATGTATCCTAATGGTAGCAACCTAGTATTTGTGAGCCTTAATGTGTTCTCAGTAACTACATCACAGCTAGTCTTAGCAATGCTACCAAAATTATTCAACAGGACTAGACTGCAGGGTGTCATGCCCTTCTTTCGCCAGCTACTACTGCCCAGCTAGACACCGTAATGGATGCTGTTATTACACTCAGTAGGAGCGGACACCAGCGCCAAGGGCAGCTTCCAGCTTTGTGCCTGGTCACACCCGACTGAGAAGGGGCTCACGTACCACTCCCAGTATATATGTCTCTGCACTTCTGAAGTTTATTCATGATCACAATTGTTGCAAAAGGAAAAAAGATGCTTTTGCTCTGGTTCCATATAAAACTAAATAGGAAAATTAAATGACAGACAAAGCAAAAGTTGGGATTTTTCTTCAGCCATAATGCAAAGAAATCTGGATTTCTACATGATAAATCACATCATGGTAGCCACAGCAGTATAGCTATAAATATCTCAAAGCAGCAGAAGCAGGGGCAGCGCAAGATTTTTGTTTGTTGTAGAAAAGGGCAACGTATTTGAAATGAATGTCTGAAATCAGAAAAATATATTAATACTGGACCAGTATTTTTTTAGTAAAGTTTTAACTGAGAATTAGAATTACAAAGGAAACATGGGTCCAAACCCAGAAGAGACATACAAAGGAGAAGCAGATAGCTTTCAATGACGGGTATCTGGGGGGCTTAGCAGGACCTGAACAAACAACTTTTCTGCACTCAGACTAAAAGGCTTACCGAAAAGTTACTGTATTTTTCACAAAGGTGTCAAAGTAGAAAGGTGAACCCTCACCCTTAACTAAATGTCATGCTGCAGTGGGTAAGGACAGAGCAAACACAGACTTACAAATGCAGAGTTTGTTCTTTGTATCATGAAAGCCTGGCAGAACTCCAGCACTGGAGTGATGCCAAACCAGTGCACCAGTGCCTTTGAACTTCTAAAGCTCGTTTTTTCTTTACTGTTTAACAACTAATTTAAACTCGGTGTACAAACGGATTTCAGAAATAAACGTAAGTAGCCAAAGTTCCAACATTTCATAACTCCTTAGGTCATGGACAACTGCCACTGGCAAAGCATGGAAAGCTGCGGACACTGGGCTAAGGTGACATTTCAAATCAGGGCCGGTGCCCTCGGTGGTTGTGTGGCTGCTCGCACATGGCTCAACAGCCGCGTTCCCCGTGTAGGGGATTTCGAGGTTTTCCACCTACAAAATTGACTTGTCTGGGCCAGGTACCCGTGTCCGGCACTAACACCCATACACGGTGCTGCTACTGTCAAGGCAGGGGCTGGACTCAAAGCACAGCCCCCGAGGGATCTCCGCAGGCTCTCCTGCAACTTCCACCGGTCAACCACTAACCTCCTCTGCCTTTTTGTTCTTTTTAGCTCATTTGTCAGCTCATTCTCATGGCATCTGTTATCGCTTCGTTCCCGGCACTCGTGTTCCCACCAGCGCTGTCCCTTTCCCTCGCATTCTGCTCTGGGGCAGATCCCCCGGGAAGGCGCCCGCGGCTCCGCCTCAGCCGCCTCAGCCGCCTCTGCGCGCGCTCGGCCCCGGCCCCGCCCC